GTGTGTGTGTGTGTGTGTGTGTGTGTGTGTGTGTGTTTGCCAAAGTCAGGCTCTGAATCACTGACCGCAACCAAAAAATCAACTTCTTATTCTAACGATATGGTGAGAACAGATTTAGCAATCACCTGACAAATCTCAACCAAACACACAGTGGCTGCTCTCACACCACTTCGTAGCGTTCAGATGAGTCAATGTAACTTCTCTTTGATGAGTCAGCCAGTAGCCGTTGCTAACCTACTGCCTCTTCCTCCCCCTTCAAATAAGGCTTGACTGTAAGTTTGATTCAGGACAGAGAGAGCTGGCTTCACCGCAGAGGTGGGACAAGAATACAACAAATGGGAAGGAGGGAGGTGGGAAAAAGAAAGAGAGGGTGCACCCCATGGCGTACACTGGAGGAAACCCACTCCCAATGAGGCAGAGGGTGGAACAATTCCATTCCCTCTTGTTACGCAACACATTGATTTGCGTCCGGCATGAGAGTCACACTGGAGGGAACATTAGTATGAGATTTATGTTTTAAAGAGTCCAGTTTTCCTGGAAACACAAGTTGAGGTTTCAAATGAGCAAGGATAATTTTACCATCGCTGCTTTGAGATCGTAATTTACATGCTTCTAAAAACAGCGACTGGGAGTTGTATGGAGTGGATGCTATGAGAGTTTGTGGAGCACAGATGCAGTCCCTGACACTGGACAGCTGGACCACGGCCTAGAGTGGTCGGATTAAAACTGTCCCAAATAACGAAACTGAGAAAAGAAGAATGAGGCTCCCACAGAGAGAAATAGATAAAGCCGATAGAAAAAGATGGCAGAGAGAACCCACATTAATATGATGTCTGCCAGTACTGTACTTGCCAATTGTTGGCTCAAGACCCGACTCAGTTGTGCCAATTTGGCTTCATATGCTGTACATTATAACTTCACTCCTTTCAACCTGCTGCAGAGGGTAAAGACCAGGTCTTCCGTTTTACTAATAAGAGAAACACTTGGATTTATTAGATTTGCTGCATTTTACTGTATACAAACAAATAATTTCAATAAGCTAACCTGAGCCACTGAACCTTTTCATCTGTTACATTTTGTAGAAAATATCATTAAAATATGTGTGCCGTAGTTCAGGGGCACTGTTTAGTTGAGTTCGGACCCCTGTGTCAAATATGTTGACAACACACACTTTACATAAACACCTCTCCACTTCTTCCCAGTTTCCAGAAATGATGCCAATGTCCTGGATAGGAAAGCTAGAGCCTGTAGAGTAGTGATCAGGTGAGGGATCTGTGATATTACGTTGTCTCAGCTGTCAATCATTACATCTCTCCCTGTTTACTCAGCATCAACTGACTACACTTATCAGAAAAATAAATACACAAACAGTAAGACGCTTTGGCTTTACTTTTTGGGAGCTTGTCCTTTCTATACAGTGGTTAACACAGACATTTTTTTATTCGACAGTATGTCGGACTTTCCATGGTAGCGTGTTTATTGTTATGAGTTGAAACTAGTAAATACTCATCTAGTTGTCCCCAAACAACCTCAAGCTTTGGTTTCTCAAAGAGAAACAAATACTGCATTTGGTTTACCAAACTGCCACCAGTGCAAAACGTCCCCAAGTAACTGAACAGAACCCATTTTTAATTACCAACATATGAGAGCAACTCCACATGATGATGAAATGTTATTAGCAGGGAATTGCCTCGACTAACAAGATAAAGCTGTCATTGTTCTTGAAGCACGGCCAAACTTCACACATGGTGTATATATTTATATCAACTGTGCGTGCAAGCTTTGAAACACGGATGGAAAGAAACTGCTGCACCCAGATCTAAGGAGCAGACTCCCGAACTGCAGCACATTTGCTATCACGAAAATCTGCGGTCAGATGCAAATGTGTAGTTTAATTGATGCGATCCATTAGCCCCTCTAATGTGGTGTTCCTCCATTGCGTCCAAATCAGGGGCGATTGCTTCCAGGTTCATTTCCATGGGTTTGTCGAGTTCATTACTAGGCAGGAGGCATTCATGTGGTTTCTGACAGACTTGGAAGCGTGTTTATTCTTCAGATTTTGTTTAGGATGGGTCGTTGGCAGGGAAACAAAGGATAGGTCACATATATTGCTAATACTGGAATATTAGGTTATATATGCAAGTTAAAGACCAAGGACAACAAGTAATCTCTTTTGCATTATGACATTCATTACATAATGCTTATATATTCATCGCCATGGCAATATGCCTGTGTTTTGTTCACCTCTATATCATCCAAAGTAGTTTATCCGCCTAACAGGCGCAAGGGAGAGACGCATCAAATCACATGTTCCATTTACTATTCCAAGCAACAGCAAAGAGCAGGGAGGCAAGTTACAGTTAAGGATTTTCTGGCTAACAACTTTACATATAATATTCCTGAGACAAGTCTTTCCTCCACAAACAGTGTAAGATGAGTGGGCTCTGTGGAGTCTCTAGACACAGTGGAAGACCCCATTATGGACATGAGGACACGTGGAGGTGGTTTACTCCTCCGTCTGGCCCAGATCTGTCGCTCCCACAACAGAGGCTCCATTGAGTCTCATTCTCCTACTCAGAAAAGGCTTTCATAACAATAATCCCCATTTGCCATTTCCATGGAAACACACCATGTTATATTATTTTCTATTTTTTTCTTAATTTCCTCCCCTGTGGTGCAGGTCCTTGCCTCCCTTCATCAACTCTGCATTACAAGCAGCGTGTCCAGACTAAGTGACTGTGCGAGGTCTGCATGTACAGATACTTGGACACATGGTCAAATATGTCAGCATGTCGACTAGAGGATCAATAAAACAGATGTGGAGGACCAATGGCTTGGCCAGATGACCATCGTTAGGTAGAAGTTGTTCAGTCGTCCAATCAAAGCAGACATGAATCAAACTGTCACAGGTTGAGTGATCATCTTACTGGAACATCACAATTTCTTTTTCCAACTTTCTAGCATGAGATTTTAACTAGAGCCTGACCAATACTGGATTTTTGGGGTGTAATAAAAATCACATATTTTCTTCCAAGTATATAGGTTGTTGGTCTATTTAAGTGGAAGAGAATAGGTTTTGATGTAATGTATTTTTAACTATTTCAAATGTGACCCCAAGCATATTTTATCCAACCTGTCCAGGGTGTACCCAGCCTCTCGCCCAAAGTCAGCTGGGATTGGCTTCAGCTCAATGATAGACAACTATCTGCCAATAAAACTGGTCAAAGTTATAATGGTCAGGCCCCTTTTTTAACCTTTAAATGTTACATTTAATGCAGAAATTCTACAGTCAAGCAAACTCTCTAAGCTTGAGAGCGACGCTGTCAGATGCAGCCGTCCAACAGCCATCTTCAGAATAATCTATTCACAACATGTGGAAGGGCCTAGATCCAGCAAGAAAATGCCAAATCCTCTTTCTCTCCAGGGCCGAAAAGCTGCAAGTCAAGACGTTTTGAAATCAGGGACGAATCCTTTCTGCTCTGCTTCTTCCTTAGCTCATGCATCTGTGTAAACTCCATCGCATGCTCAGATATTTACCTCAGAATAAGCTGTGGGTCATTTGGTCCTCTCAACCGTGAGGACTGCCGTAATTTGTCTAAGCGCTCCCATATGAAAAACATGTTTCTGTTTATTCCAGCAATACACTGTGTGTGCTTTCTGAAAGTTTTCTCCATGTCAAAACCAGATTCATGTAAGCTCATCTCTGCACAGACACAAAAAGGCATCAAGTGTGTCAAATAGCAACCGGCTGGTCCTTCAGAACTAAGCTATTAAACAGCTGAAGGAGCATTATGTCATTCCACTCGAATAGTACTGATTGAAGCAATCAATGTTTGATTACAATCCTACCTTTTAATTTTCTCTAATCAAGCCATAAATATGCTGGAACTTCCTATGTTTAATGGATTGTGTGTTACCAGCGAGTATACAAAGAATGCAAACAGTTAATTAAGGGTCAAATTGGGTTATTTAGCTGGAAAGGGGGGGGGGGATGCTCATTGGGGAAAAATCTGCATTCATAAGAATAATTAATTTCCTATTATGAATGGAATTTCACTTAATCTCCTGAGTTGATTTTGACAGTTGGATAAGTGATATATCCTGCAGGCACTGAAATTTAGCATCCGCAGAGACTTAAACTCAAATGCGTCAGAGGCTGTCCTTTTACAGTGCTGCTGAAAATAATGTTGAGAGAGACGGAGACAGAAGGAAGCTGGAAATCTGAGAATGAGGGAGAACGACAGACACACTGGGATGGAGACAGAAACTGAAAAACACCAAGAGACAGACACTGAAAAAACAGAGACAGAAACAGCGAAGCCCTGTTCTTCCAGCAAACCCAGAACCAGCTTGCATGGCAGCTGAAACCCACAGAGTACTTCTCCGTTCTGACAGCTGTGCCCTGATCCCTCAGCACACCATGGACACATGCCAACACAGACAAGCCAGTTTGGCACTGCTACAGACCAACAACCTTTGCTAACAAGTGTGATCTGTGCACGAGATGGGAACCGTATGAAAAGGGATGGGCTGCTTGTAGTGGGATAGATGAGCTCCTGAATTTGTTTAATGGAGTGTTAGTGGTGGGGTTAGGGGGGATTGGCCTCACCCAACCATCAAGACGCTGTCTGCACAACCGAATCCCTTCCAATTCCTGTCGCTAATCCTGTTTGGTCAGGACAATGAGTGACACGCAAAGGAAAAGAGTTGGGCTACCATGCATTACTGTAAAGGGAAACTCCAGGAAGTATAATACACTGCTTTGATCCAACTTCATATATTTTCCTCATGTTTTCACTTTGATGAAATGAGTCACCTAAACTAGTTTGGTAAATACAAGGATCATTGAAATTCCAATGGTGACAGGCACACTACATATAGAGATAATACAATCTAAAAATTGTACCTGGTTACCTGTTTACATTGAAGTTGCACAATTATGCAAAAAAAACATTGAACTGATTTTCTTAAAACTTGGTGAAGGCTGGGTTATAGGCCAAGGAAGAACCCATTAACTGTTGGAGTGCATCTAATGGGGGGGCAGGCAGGAATATTTATTTCCACCCTTTATGTTTGCGAGATAGGGTGTTAGCCTTGGCGGAGGGATCTGTCTCTGGTTTCTATGGCATTCAATGAAGAGGGTGCCTGGTTGTTTGAAAAGTGATGCGTTTGTTTGATGTGATTCTGATCCATTACTGAAATAAGTGACAGGTTTATGGGTCCAAGCTTAAAACCAATAAGACACCACATCATTACAAATGAATTCTGAAATGTTTTTAGTTTTAAGACCAATATAGTCCAGGACTAGCGGTTTCAGCTATGCATTTAGATCACATCGTGTCTACTCACCACCAATTCGGAGAAGCGTGCATGCAGCTCCTCAGCGAGTGGCATGGGTGCACTGAACTCCAGCAGCTGCAAGGGAACAGTGTCCTTCAAGTTGATCTCTGGGGGCTCGCTGCTACCAAAGCAGCACAGGAAGCCCAGGCCCGGCCGCGTCCTCTTCCTGGGGGGCATGATGGCTGTGGTGACACACGTGGCAGTGGTGGTGCTGGACCAGGATGGTAGAGGAAGGGGCCAAGGGCAGGGATGGGGAGTGGAGAGGAGGACGAGGCTGCTATCTAGGGGGCATGATCTGGAACAGAGAGGAGAAAGAGAGAAAATGTTCAACAGAGGGAATGCAATCTGACCTATGATTGATTTGCCAAGTATTATTAAGAATTGCTTGCAATGATTTAGACATGAATATTTAATGGCACAATGCATTGCACTTCCATGTGCAGCACAACAGAGATTCAAAGTCAGTATCCGGTCGATGATTCCTTAAAAATAATTATTTGTAGTGCACAGGAAGCAAAGCAATTTATGTTTCCAGCACCCACAGTTTGTTTGGAAGAAATACAGGAACATGAGCAGCAACAGCCACCAAGGCCAAACAAAGGAAAACAGCTCCCTCAAGAATCTTCATCAACAGAAAATAACAAGCGGCAAGACATTGCAGTACTGGAAATGGAAATTGCGCAACAGAAATCCTTTGCCAATGATGGCCTACCAATACAAATGCCACTGAATTCCACAGGAAGGAAGTAGCAAGTGCAAGACTGTTAACACCTGCTCGTTTTTGGTCCTTTGTCCCCTTCAATGTGTCCATAAAAACATGTGCCAGGGTAGAGGTGTTCTTGCTGTGAGACAAGAGAGCACAGAGGCGGCAGGGGCTGCCATCATATCCTTGTCTTGACATTGGTCGCTCTTGTGCCTCGACAAAGAAACCTCTTGTCCGTGAGGTACAATGGTGCCCCTGCAGTGTCTGAGTGTGTTGTTTATGCAGAAACACTATGAGAGCTGCCCCAGCACTGTCCTCACTACTTGAATGGTGCAGAAACTGTATATGTGTTTGTGTAATGAATGACACCCACTGCAACAGCTGAATGGGCCAAGACACCCAGGAGGATTTCCTCAGTGCTACGAAAGGGATATGGGTGGTCTTCACTGTATGAACAATACACCCTTTACACTATATTGCATCCTATCAGGCATACACACACATACAGAATGTGAGCGTACACCCACAATGGCTGGCACAGATGCCAAAGCTCTTCTTTATGCAACAAATTTCCGCATTTGTGAATGAATGGACTTCAAGCCTGTTATGCAAATCCCATGGACCTGGAACATCCAGCAGAAATATTTCACCGAGAAAAAGATTTATGTTTAATACATTGATTAAAGAACAACACTTACAGATTTTAAAACAGCAAATGCAAGTTGCTATGCCTTGTTTGATATTTGGACATAATCAAACAAGCATTAAGTAATGGCTGGAGCTTTGCACCCGTCAGTTTAATGAGACTGCGAAGGTTTACGACTTCAGTTTCCACATGAAGCCACAATCTACTACATCTTGACTGAGCACAGCTCTCCACCATCGCTCTGTCACACGCTTGTTCAGCGTAGGAGTTCTCACTACGCCATCTAAAAATAGCTGGATGTTAAATTCTTTATGAAAGAGCTGGGACCTCAACAGCAGCTTAAAGGGGGGAAAAAGTGAAGAGAGAAAACACCACATTTCCATTTTGCCCTCTCTTCTTTTGCTCATTTGCTTTTTCCGCTTCCTTGAATCTGCCATCCCACTTACGGCGGTATAGAAGCAGATCGGTGCACAGCTACAAACCAACTGGAGGCTATGTTAAATGAAAAGAAACTGCAGTTTTCTTTGCAACTAATAGTACTTATTTTGTATTTGTAACTTAAATGAGTCTGAATAATCACCTTCAAGACTGTTTCATAGGCATTGCATCAGTATGCTGAATGTCAATTATAGCTTGTGAGGCATCTTGTAAATGTGTGTGGCGGTTACTCGATACTGCACCAGCGTGAGTCTTAATAGCCGAGGTGACAATCCCTGGATACAGCCAACCCCCCCATCATCATGACGGGATGAAAAAAAGAGCTGTGCGCCCTCATTCCCTGTGAATAGTCTGAGTCTCCAATTGGCTGCATTAGACCTCATATTAGTTTTGGATGAACATAGGAATGTATTTTTGTTCAGACTGAGGACTGTTAATATAATCCACTATCTGCTGCATTAGAATTACTGTAGGAAAAGCAGTATTTGTACATATGAACGTGTGTGTACGCGGTGTACAGGAAAATGTGATGTGTTATAATGTGTGTGTGGTTATCTTACCCAACAAGTTTGCACTTGTTTCTTATTTGTAATACAATTATTTCCAGGTAGGTATAACCTAGTCAGTCACCAGTGCTTGGCTGTAAAACTGTTTCCACACAGAGGAAGGACGTCTGCCTGCATGAAGACCCATATCATGCTTTCTATATTTTCTGTCATATATATGATGTTTGCAGAAATGCACATTAAGGTTCAAATAATGTAAACAGTCCAAGCAAGACTTAAGACTCAACCTGCTTTGGACAATAAGTTCCTTGTAATGGATTTATTTATACTGTCACCTGCTTCAAGCATAGGTCCTTCTCCCAAGCCAGTCTGCTGGAGTATTATTATAGACATTTAAGGCTCTCCATATAAATAACCAACACAACAGGTTTACTATACAGCCGTTTGGTCCCAGAAGAACAATATTAGCTTTTGTATTTCCTGACAGCAGACATTTTCCACTTCGGTCTGCAGTTAAATGCAGTTCTCATAATCTGGCACTTTATAGAAAATCCTATATACGCGTTGTGATTGTAAAACTAAATCCACTGTTATGTCACACAATAAACAGGTAATGTGCATAATATTTACCAAACAGTCTGTACATGGATTTGAGATGTTGCCAATTCCAACATATTGCTCTCATACTAAGATTTACAGTTTGCTTCCAGATCTAGATCCTGGACAAGGGGTTGCCAACAAGTGCACTACAGAAAGTCAAGGTAATATTGTCTGTTTCAGTCAAAGGCTCATTCAAGTGGCTGCATAACAGGCAGGCTGAGATAAATAAGGACTTTTCTGTACTGTGAATCATTCAGAGCTTCTCTAGTGGAGTCCCAGAATAAAAATGTAGAGCTGAGTCACTTTTATATAAATAATTTAAATACTCCTTTATTCCTTTTTTCTAAAATCCTTTGCTTGGGGTAAAAAGAAGGTACTGAAATGAATGAATTCATCTGAATCTATCAAAACAGCAATCAACCACTGCGAGCTGCCCACTTTGCTCAGGTAATCTAGATTTATACTCAAAACTTATCGTCTCTCATCTATTCCCACAGAAACAACCTTCAACAGCGAGTCTCATTTTTTTAACCAGCAATCTTGAAATTGCAGCAAAGTCACAGTCTTCAAGATTTTTAATATCCCTTTTCAGTAGCCTATCCAGTTTGTTCCCAAACAAAGACATACAGTGCTAACAATCAGAGATGACTCTCCCGAGGTGTATAGGGGGTGTTGTGCTCAACAAGCTGCAGAGATTCTGCTTTAACTTCTATCAAACCAGATGTGCCCGAGCATAGCACGCTGACCAAAATTGCATGGATATACTATAAAGGCCGGAATGAAAATTCACTGTGGTGAGTCAGTAGGAGAGAAGAAACAGTAAAGCCCTTTAAAACAATGAGATGACAGAATAGATGAAGCACACTTCATAGGGAGGTAAATTATGAAGTTTCCCCCCATACATTTACACTTGAAAAAAGCTCTGTACTCGTGCCATTAACAGTGACAGTGTTTCATCATTTTTATTGCTATAAGATAAAGTATGAGCTGGTGCCAAATCTTTATGGTGGTGATTTTGCTGTGGACAGCTGGTAGAGCCTAATGGAAAAGAGGCCTCTCTGCAGGGTTTTAAAGCTATTCAGCAGAATATACAATCTAAACCTCCTGTCTAGTGTCTGTGTGTGTGTGTGTGTGTGTGTGTGTGTGTGTGTGTGTGTGTGAGCTTCTATCTTCACTCTCCCACAGAGCCCCACGTGCGGCCAGTCCTCACTCAACACCACCTCTGCTGGCCTGCGTCCAGTCAATGCCAATGGAAAGTAGGCCAAAGAACTGAGAAGTATAAACACTGAAATATAGTAATATAGTGTATACAGTGAAATAAGAGGAAGCAAGATCAGTATTAAGTTTGTACATGTGAAACTTTTATCATGGTCTGTGTGGTGGAGTCACTTAACAACCCCAAATGACCACGTCCCCTTCAATATGTGGCCACTCTTGTCTGCCATCATTTCATCCCCCCTCTCTCTCTGACTCACTGTCATCCCTCATTATTCCCCTTTCTTTTCTCCATCAACCCCCCTCTGACAGTAACATCTGTCATTCTCTTTGCCACTTACTGCAATCCCCCTATCAGATTAATTCCCCATTTTCTATTTCTTCTCTCCCTTCCCTCACCACATTCATGGTTATCCAGGTCAAGAAATTGCAAGAATCATTTCTTAGCTGGCAATGGCCTGGCCTAGTGACTGAGCACATCTTCGTTCTTGTCATCAGAGTGAGTGCCAGGTTAACTGCAATCTTGCAAATAAAGAGAACAAATCCAAAAGCTCAACAGTCCATCACTAAATTAGCACTAGAGCTATAAATCCTACAATTAAATACTGGGCGAATGCAACACAATGACTATGTTTACATGGACACTAATATTCTGATATTAAACCAATTAAGGCATGCTGTGAAAAGACACTGCCATGTAAATAACATGTTCTGATTGCCTTAATCAAAACGAGGTAATACCTGGAATACACTTTAAGACGTGGAGAATTCGTACCTTAGTTGCATTATGTAGAAAATGTATACATCGTAACTGCATTATAATGTCCTACTGCAGTTGTTAACTGTCCTATTTCGATAAATGCTGCGACACATGGGTGGAAACAAGATGGAAAATTATAAAGGAGTTGTAGCTTTTGCAATATTAGAAAGAAAACATGGTATCATATGGTAAAACATCAGGCATCTTAGTATAGTTGACAAAATTGCATCAGTCATACTTGGGCTATGAATTAAGATACATATATAAAAACCAGACTGCATCTTTTTAGTCAACACGACTCCCTTATTTCCCCTGCTCATCACTGGGAAACAGATGTACGTATGATTACGTTATCAGCCGCAAGAGAGGGGACCATCACTGAAAGAGTGAGAATTTGCAGACTTCTATAGGCTAGTGCTTATTAAAA